AAAGCAATGGCCGCATTCCTACAATTGAAGAACATATGGAACTCAAAACAACTTTCAACCAATATCAAAGTGAGAATCTTCAATACAAACGTCAAGGCAGTTCCACTGTACGGAGTTGAAAGTTGGAGAACTGCTGCAACCATCATCAAGAATTTACAGGTATTTATAAATAGTTGTCTACGCAAGATACTCAACATCGATTGGCCGGATACCATCAGCAACAACCTTCTGTGGGAGAGAACAAGCCAGCTTCCAGCTGAAGAGTAAGTTAGGAAAAGACGATGGAAATGGATAGGACATACATTACGCAAATCGTCAAACTGCATCACGAGACAAGCCCTAACTTGGAATCGTGAAGGAAGGCGGAAGAGAGGAAGGCCAAAGAACACATTACGTCGGGAAATAAAAGCAGATATAGAAAGGATGAATAACGACTGGAAGGAGCTGGAAGGGATTGCCCAGTACAGGGTTGGATGGCGAATGCTAGTGAGCGGCCTATGTTCCTTCACGAGTAGTAACAGGTGTAAGTAAAGTAAGTAAGTAAAGGAGAATTAATTTACTTCAACTAACGAAAAACACCATATGCCAATGAGTCGAAGAAAAACAGGCTTCAGGAAGTAGTATGAGTACAGACCAGTTAACATAATTCGCATGTTATAAGTATAGACACAGTAGAAGTTATTTCATTACTCTATCTTTGAAAAAAAAAAGAACTTTTATCTAGTTTCTTTCGAATCGGAAAACTGCTTTCAACTCCTTCACTAGTAGGTGAACTTGAGCCGGTCAGATATAATGGTTGGATCGAAGAAACACTACACCTAATAACCTTATTATCTCCACGACTAACACTTCTCACGGTCCTTTATCATCTCGCACCGCTGGTGCAAACGATTCAACTACGCGGAACGTTATTCCTGGTCTCCTGAAACTACGTTCTAAACTACATGTAGGAGCTTATAAAGTCCGAACACTGTGCCAAATAGGACAACAGGCTTCCTTACCTAAGACTATAGGATCTCACGCCGTGTATGCTGCGTCTCCTAAACGCGTATACAGGATCCGAGTAGCGTCATTCATTTGACCTCACCATATCAAAATAAAGAGCCATCTCGATTCACACTTCGTGTATCTCGAAGCCCCGATGCTGCTTCCCGTGGCCTCGCTGGCGTAGGTATAGCATTGAGTCCTAGGGCAGAACTAGCTCTTTTAGAGTGGATCTCAGTAGACAGTCGTTTGTGCGCTGTCCGACTGAACGGAACAGTAAGGACTCGGAAAAATAGGGACACTTGTCGTTGCCCCATCGTTGTCTCTGCCTACTCTCCCACTGACTGCAGCTCAGATGATGAAAAGATGAGTTTTACAGAAAGCTTTCGGACCTTCTCCGAAAAGCTAGGCGCTCTGATGTAGTCATAGTGGCCGGTGACTTTAATGCTGAAGTAGGTAAACTAAGCGAAAAGGAAAGACACCTGGGTGAATCTTTTGGTTTTGTGGCTCAAAGAACAGGTAATGGCGACCGTCTGTTGCAAATATGCTCAGATGACCGCCTGTTTCTTGCAAATACTAACTATAAACATAAGGAAAAACACATTTTGGCATGGCAACCCCCGAATTCGTCCAAACGCTGGACCCAAATGGATCACATTGCTATCAGCCACCGATGGAGGAGCTCGATAGAAGACTGTCGGTCGTTCTGGAACATATGATTGGATTCGGATCATGTTCTAGCGCGAGCGCGTATTTGTCTGCGTCTTACTGAACGTAGGAAAGACACTGCAAGGAAACCTCTTAGGGTCCTACTTAATGATAGCCAAGCTAAGAATATATTTCAGGAACAACTAGAAAAACAGTTAGGCAGTCATGTATGTGATGCCCATCCCGAGGCAGCATGAAATGATATCTGAAAAGCTGTGGAAACAGCAGTGATATCTGCTAGTACGGTAAACCGTAAGGTTAGGGAGAAACACTGGATCTCAGCAGCATCTATCGCACTGATAGATGCTCGGAAACTAATTCCACCTGGCTCTGAACATAATGAAGAGAGGAGTCAGCTTAAGCACAAGCTGAAAAGAAGAGTACGCAATGATCGCGAATAGTGGTGGGTAGCGAAATCAAGAGAGATGAAAAAGGCAGCGGCAATAGGTAATAGCAGACAATTGTTCAGACTTGTTAAGGAAACCGGAATTAGGAACCCGACCGTTAGCGAAACAATCTCAGAGAAAGATGGACGTATTATTCATTCTCAATCCAGGAGATTGGATCGATGGGCAGAACACTTTAGGGATCAGTTCAACTGGCCTTCAGCCACACTTCGGTTTCCCACGATCTCTAGTCAACCTCAATGGCAAGTTAATGTAGGTCCTCCGTCCCTTTACGAAGTTGAAAAAGCCATAGGAAATCTGAAACGAGGGAGAGCAGCAGGCCCTGACAGGTTTATCCCTGAGATTTTTAAGGATGGTGGTCCAGTATTAGCAGTGAGATTAACTGAGGTCTTAGGTAGAATTTGGGAAGTGGACATAATCCCATCTGACTGGTCTCAATCACTGATTGTGCCAGTCTATAAGAAAGGACAAAAGTCCTCTTGTGACAATCACAGAGGAATCAGTTTGACTAATATAGTATCTAAAATATTAGCTTCGATAATACTTCGACGCCTAACCAAAGCTCGTGAAGAACAGACTAGAGAAAATCAGGCTGGTTTTCGACCTGGACGTGGTTGTATAGATCAGATATTCACACTACGTCAGGTTCTAGAACACAGACACACGTTCAGACGCCCCACAATGATAGTATTTCTCGACCTTAAGGCGGCATTCGACTATGTTGATCGTGAGGTTCTATGGCAGTGTTTGTCACTGAAAGGAGTACTAAAGAAGTACATTAACCTTATAAAGGCTCTCTACTCAAACACAACTGGTCGAGTGAAAGCTTATGGTGAACTGTCATCAGAATTGATTACCTCAAGTGGTGTTCGTCAGGGCTGTCCACTCTCCCCATTCTTGTTTAACTTTGTTGTTGACGTACTTTTAGAGATAACACTCTCCTCATCTAAATTTCCAGGGGTTGAACTTCTACCGGGAGGTTCACTTGTTGACTTAGAATATGCTGATGACATAGTTTTATTTGGTGAAGACGCTGACAAAATGCAGTCTTCTGATCACTCTAAGCAACAATGCAAGCATATTTATGATGCGATTCTCCCCCTCGAAGTGCAAAATGTTACTTCAGGATTGAGTAGCATCGACACCCGAACTAATGATAGGGAGTGAAGTAGTTGAGCGTGCCGATCGCTTCACTTATCATGGGAGTCTCATCAACCCTTGTGGTTTGGTGTGTGACGAAATCTCAGCATGGATACAGAAGGCTCGACTAGCTTTGGCCAACTTGCGTTATTTATGGAGTAGGTGAGATACCCGTCTACCAATCCAAGGACGGGTTTACTGCGCAGCAGAACTTTTCGTCCAACTTTATGGCAGTGAAACATGGCCGGTAAGAGTAGAGGATATTCATAGGTTACTGGTATTCGATTATAGATGTCTTTGAAGCATTGCTCGTATATCCTGGGACCATCGAGTAAGTAACGCAGTTGTTAGGAAACGGGTTCTAGGTAAGGATGGCAAATCAATTGATGAAGTAGTGAAACTTCATCAGTTGAGGTGGCTGGGACACGTGTTACGTATGCCCAACGACCGACTGCCTCGACGTGCTATGTTCAGTGGTATAGGAGTAGGTTGGAAGAAAGCTAGGGGCGGCCAAGCCAAAACATGGCACAAGTCCATGAAGTCACTGACAAGTGGACTGAGCCATGTTGGTAGGTGTAGACTACCTGGTTGGGGACCACGAGATGATAGCAACCTATGGTTAGACACCCTGAATGACATGGCTCAAAATCGTTTGCAATGGCGCAGGTGCATCCACTTTTTGTGTTCTCCCAAATTCTAATCTTCTGAATTCTTCATGTCCCTTTTTCCTCTCCCCAAATTTATTTCACTGGATTATACTCTTTAAATAACATCTCCAAACGCTAATGTTTCCGATTACTGCTTATACTCTTGCTACCTCTACCACTACGGGATTTGAATGGACAACTGCATCTCTGTGCTAATGTGGTGTGACAACTCGAACTAATGTACGTACGTACGATGTTCTACGTTGTGACTGACTGACTGAAATTCTAATCTTCTGAATTCTTTATGTCCCTTTTTTTCTCTTTCCAAATTCATTTCACTGAATTATACTCCTTGAATAACATCTCCAAACCCTAATCTTTCCGATAACTGCTTATACTTTTTCTACCTCTACCACTATGGGATTAGGATCGACAACTGTATCTCTGTGTTAATGTGGTATGACAACTTGAACTGATGTACGTGCGCACGTATGTGCGAAGTTCTACGTTGTTGCTGACCGACTCACTACAACTATCATCAAAAAGGTAAAGGCATTTATAAACAGTTGTCTATACAAGATACTTCAGATTCTTTGGCCAGACACTATCAGCAACGACCTACTGTGACAGAGAAAAAACCATCTTCTAGATGAAGGAGAAACTAGGAAAAGATAGGTAACGCACTGAGGAAATAATCAAACTGCATCACGAAACAGGCTCTAGTTTGGATACCTGAAGGAAGAAAGGCAGACCAAAAAACACACTGCGCCAGGAATCGAAGGTAGACATCAAAACGAAGAAAAGCACTTTGGTAACACCTTGAATGGAGGGACCGTAACAGAGCTGATCGGATATCCCTGGTCGGTGGCCTATGCTCCACGAGAAATAACTGGTGTACCTAAGTAAGTACTGATAGTTATTATTTCACTGTCATTTATTTACCGCTCATACTTTTTAATAAAATTAACAGTAAACAATCTTATGTTCCTGTGTTGTAATACAATCTAAAAATCAATGACATAATACATTGACAATTGTTAAAAAATAATATTTGCAACTATGAATATGTATAGATATATTAACCAACAAACAAACAGACAGAATATAATCCTACCTGATAAACGGTCTGAAGAGAGTCCATAAAATTTTTATACCAGTAGTAGGATGTACAATGTAAAGTGTTTTCAAATTTTTACGAAAACTGGAGAGAGAGAGAGAAGGCAATAATAAAATCATTTTAAATAAATTATATAGATCTGATAACGTCAACCTGAAACTAATATTATGAAATGTGAGAAAAAAGATTACCATTAACTTAATTAATTAGGGTATTTTATTTTCAAATATTACGTGTTGTATTTTTGAACTCGTCTAGAACTAATTTTATTTTAGTAATATAGTCTTGATGTAATTAATCCCTAATGTAATCATTTTACATAATTCAACAATTTCATAAAGGGTACTCTCTACTACTGATAAAGTAAATATCAATGAATTAACGGAGATAATATATCACCATTCAATGGATAGTTGGATAATTGACGTGCTAATCTGATTATATGTGACTAGTAGGCATAAATTGCAGTATTGCGTTGGGTTAGGGTTTATTATTTTTGAAAGGAAGTGATAACAAGGAATTAAAAATATATGAAACAGAAGTCTTAGCGGTATAACTTCCGAGCCATGGGATTAGCATTAAATCCAACGTCGAGAATTTCGAACAATATAAATGAAGACATTAAGAAAAGACAAATATTTACCAACATCCAGATAACGAGTTCCTAATAGGACGAAACGCGCGTTGTCGATTCCACTGCTAGCTAAATTCTATCTGTTCTATATCCATGGAATAACATTTCCTGCCATTATTAAGATATATCTCAGTAATCTACCAGACCAATAATAACTACTCAGAGGGAGAAGTTAGAAGGGATTCAGAAATATCCGAATAAAATACATAATGTACAACTAATAAAGCCTTCTGTTAGTAAAGCGAAACATGTCAAGTATTTATAATGGTGAGATCATTAGTAAATCAAGATTAAGTGATCTGAGGTGGTAGTCGATGACATGATTTGAACCCTCAACTTACTACTATATCTTTCAAGATATTGATTAACTATGAACCAAGCCTAATTTTTTCCCTCTTCTATGAGCTCATCAGATTACTACTACTAAATGGTCTAAAGGTAACGAACTCGTCGTAAACACTGAAAGTCACTGATTTGGGCTATGGAGAGAACAATTGCACACTAGCGAGGAGTAACATTTCAAGATCCAATAGTTATTCAGTGCTCCCTGATTTGTAAAAATTCTATTGTCGCTATCAATCGGAGATAAAAACCAACTCCAACGTAAACTAATCTACAAAAACTATAGATAGACCGAATTATTCACCATATTTATCCGATTCCAAATGAAAATAGGCATCGTTTATAGTCCATCAAAAGTGAAAAAATAACGATGAAATGGTGTTGGTCATTCAATAATAAAATAATGAGCAATTTACTTGCGCCCAAATGTTCTATAAGCTTGAACAAGCCATTTAAATTTAGGTCGATTTTTGTTAGTAAGTCCGAAGTGGAAGTAAATTAGGACGTAATCAATACTGACATATTGTTCCAATGTTTTAGTAATATACCTAAAATAGTAAATATATATATATATATATATATATATATATATATATATATATATACATGGAAAATTAACATGGATTATTAGAATAAGTTCAGATATACACGAATAAGTAAATTGCTTTACATTCAAAGATTTAAAAGGTAACAAGAATAATAATCTAATATTAAGAGAATTACCACACATTAAGAACAAAGTTGTACACAGACTGAGTGTTATTATTATGGATAGATTATCCCACAAGTACTGAGATACTCATGTAGTGTAGGCTGCTTATGTTGACAGATATAAGTGGTACGTAACACCAATCGGAAGTGGACTGTCTACCAGCAGAAGGTTAAGAAAATTGAAATGAAGAGAAGATGGAAGGAAACCGAGAGCAGTCAAGATAACAACGGAAATGAAAGAACAACGAAGCTTGTAAGAGACAATTCGAAGATGTGCAAATGATGTACGATTTCCACATTTTACTAAACCGCTGTGCGATTGAGCATTAAACAATAAATTGGTTTTCTCCACCTGAGTTCTCGTTCACTACACTCATAAGCAGTTTATATTGATCAAGAGGGGTTAACTGATCAGGCCTAGTAAACTAACAAAGGCAAATTACCGGTTATTCCAAAGTTTAATATGCACTGTAGTCAGGTCAGTCATATCCAGTGTAAAGCTTGACAATTATGTAAGTTATGTAGTGAATGAAGGTTTGCTGGGGAAGGCAAATCTATTATTTTATGCAAAGTTACACATTCCCTTTGTAAAATATGAAAATCATACATCAAATACATCATCTGTACATCTTCCTTGAGTTGTCTTTACACATTCCATCATTCTTCTAATTCTGTCACTATTCTGATTGCCTTCCGTTTTCCTTCCTGTTCTCTTTATTTCAATCTTCTGCTGGTAAGCATTCCTGCTACATACTTATATCTGTCCACATAAGTAGCGCACACCACGCTCGTCTCCCCTTTGATAAGTCGCTCTTACAGTTGTACGCTCGCCGTGCCGCTTTCTTTTTCATCAGTCTGTGACTCACTCCTCGCCAAAATATCGAGCCCGCTGGCGTGCTGAATTCCGTAGCTGTCGACCTGTTGGACCATCTAAGTCCGAGCATTCGGGACGTCCAACGCCTCCTCTTCATTGACAGCGATTGCTATGAAAGTTCTTTCAAACTACCCTCCTCAATTTAGCTATGAACAAGACCCTGGGTGAATGATAATCGTGATAATTGTATATGTGTACTCGATTTTCGAGACACAGTTTTACCCAATTACTAATAGAAAATTAGTGTTATTATTTCTGCGAAAGTCACAAGACACACGCTTTATTTGACAAAAGAATTTGACTAATTTTTAACCAATGTAGCGCATTTTAACTGAACACAGAAATTTGTGTACTTAGCCTTCGATCATAATCAGTGTGTGTTATAGATACTATCGGCTATTAAAAACCACAAATAACTGTAATGTAGTCCAAACTCAGCATTCGATAGTTGATACTCCAGTTGAGCCACACAACGTTATTTTATAAAAATGTTTTTCAAGCTCTAAAATAATTTATGGGAACTAATCAAGTTATTGAGCTTTTTGAAAGTCATAAACTTTTCCGAACAATTATTGGTCAAAAACTGAAAGAATCCGCTGTCTAAATCACAGTTTTATGCTCATTGCAATTGGATTCCTGATAAGTTTATCATATGTAACGATAGTGTTTTTCCGTTAATGAAAAACCTAACCGATCAAATTCATTATATAGAATCATTAAAGTTCGTATTGATTCATACAAATAAAACAGTCTGTTAATGCACATACTTCTCTCACACACACGTAACTGCATTAACAAAAGCAATGATTTGAAAGCCTAACAAAAATTTGGTTGAAAATGGCATATATATATATATATATATATATATATATATATTTGCCATCATATGAAAACTGCACGTTTTATTTTAGAATGTCTGCCTCAAACAAGGTAGTGGTCTATTGTATTGAACTATTTACTTTGAACAAATATTTAACTTAGTATCTGATGGACAACAAAGGTATTTACAATATTCTAGTTACAAAAATAAACAAATAAACTGGGTTCCACATAAGTTTAAAAAAAGTAAGAAATCTTTAAAAACGAAGGAATTTCTAAAGATCGGTCGCAGGGAATAAAAGCGGCAGTAACTTCGTGGTTAAGAAACGAGACTTCTGACGATAGAAATGTATCTGGGTCCTGTATGAGTTTCATAGACACAGAACAAAGAGACGAGATTTTAAAGTCCTGGACAATAGATTGCATTCCCCGGCTCGACAAAAGATTCGAACACTGTTAGCAGTGCGGCTTTGGAGAACCAGGAATAACATCCCCTGGACTCTAATTACTAGAATTAGTAAGGTATAGAAAATAAGATGAAGCCATAGGGGACGGATTAAGTGTAGGGAGAGAAGTATAAGGAAATGAAGAGGGGATTTGATTGTGGATAAGGTGATCTCGAGAGTTTTTGGATAGGAATACCTCAGGTTATCGAGCTTTCTGTTAATAAATGATAACCCTTACGTATGAGGAAAACCATGATAACATTCCCCCAATTCATATTTCCATAATGATGGTTGTTACTATTTGATCAGTTGTTCTTACTGATAGTTGGTAATTTTACTGTCTTAATTTCATGTTTTGTTGTTACATACAGAGTTTTTATACTTTGATACTGTCTTCTTAAATATCAAGTTTCTCAAAAACCATACTCCCGTTCACATCTTACAGTAAAGTCAGTAGTACGATTTCGTCATCGGACAGTAAGTTGCAACACTTAGTTTTACCTCCTTCTAATCGACTCCCATATAATGGTTGGACCGATGATTCCAGTTAATATAGCTTGATCATTATAAGCAGACCCGAATATAACATCAAGAGAACAACGACGGTAACTTACTTGTATAAAACGAGTAAGCCAATCAGCAGTAGTGCATCGAAAGGTTTAGCGTCAATTACGGAAAAAGCAGTTGGCAGATAATAATTGTAACAAATGTATAGAATTATTTTCTCAAACAGATCCTAATACATACATAACACTGTTCGATTTAGTCTTCCCCAGGAAAAACTATAAATTACGGATTTGTGTGAGAAGAATGATGCTATTTCAGAGATGTAAACTGCACAAAATAGTAAATAGTTATCATTTACTAAAAAAGTTGAGCGGTTAACCAAAATTCATCTTTCCCTTCAATATTCCATCTTAACAAGTTAACTAACTGGTTAATTAATTGACTCATTCGTCACACTCGAAGTGTGAGGGTTAATGATGCTACCTGTTTTGTCAAAAAGAAGCAGGTGGTGCGGGATTCGAAACCGCAACATGGTTAAAAGTTGAACGCCTTTACTACTGAGCCATGGACAGTCAGTAGCGTTGAGCTTTTACAGACTGATTCATTTAATTCCAGGTTCATCAAATAATCATGACTTACATTAGAAGATGTTGATGATCAATTAAATCAGCTGCTGGTAGACGACAAGCTGAGAAAACAATTATTTTACGACCGAGTTTATCATCTCCTGCACCTTGTAATACACCCAGCCGAGAAATATCTGGATAATCAGAATCAATTACATCTTGAACACTGAGCTCCTATAAGTAAAAGAAGAGTAAAAGTTTCAACATGCTACGATAAAAATAATTACTTTAGAACATTGATTTTTCTGGAAAAAAGGTAGCTTAAGCAAAATACAATAAGTATATAAAATGGACAACATATTATCGTAAAACTAGTTGTATAATATTTGGTGATAATACCTCAATGAACTTGATCATTTAAATTTATTAGAAGTATAAAAATTCCCTGATCAGTCAGTAACCTATAGTTGAACGATTAAAAATACAGTCGTGGTGGAATATGGCGAAACTAATCGAAACATTTATAGGTTAAAAGAAGGGATACTGTATTGAACAGGAACACGAGTGGGGACAATCGAATGTATTTGACAGAAAATTACAGAACCTGTTAATAAAACTTAACAATCATATTTTACTTACGCCTGTTACTACTCGTGAAGGAACATAGGCCGCTCACTAGCATTCGCCATCCAACCCTGTACTGGGCAATCCCTTCCAGCTCCTTCCAGTCGTTATTCATCCTTTCTATATCTGCTTTTATTTCCCGACGTAATGTGTTCTTTGGCCTTCCTCTCTTCCGCCTTCCTTCACGATTCCAAGTTAGGGCTTGTCTCGTGATGCAGTTTGACGATTTGCGTAATGTATGTCCTATCCATTTCCATCGTCTTTTCCTAACTTACTCTTCAGCTGGAAGCTGGCTTGTTCTCTCCCACAGAAGGTTGTTGCTGATGGTATCCGGCCAATCGATGTTGAGTATCTTGCGTAGACAACTATTTATAAATACCTGTAAATTCTTGATGATGGTTGCAGCAGTTCTCCAACTTTCAACTCCGTACAGTGGAACTGCCTTGACGTTTGTATTGAAGATTCTCACTTTGATATTGGTTGAAAGTTGTTTTGAGTTCCATATGTTCTTCAATTGTAGGAATGCGGCCATTGCTTTGCCAATCCTCGCCTTTACATCTGCATCTGATTCTCCTTGTCCATCGATGATGCTTCCCAGGTACGTGGACGATTCTACATCTTCCAGAGTTTCGCCATCAGGTATGATTGGATTGGTGTTCCCCGTGTTGTATTTGAGGACCTCGGTTTTCCCCTTGTGTATGTTGGGGCCTACAGAGGCAGAGACTGCTGCTACACTGGCTGTCTTCAACTGCATTTGTTCGTGTGTATGGGATAGGAGGGCTAGGTCATCTGTGAAGTCCAAATCGTCTAATTGGTCCTGAGCTGTCCATTGTATTCCGTGTTGTCCCTCAGATCTCGAGGTCTTCATAATCCAGTCGACCACTAGAAGAAAGAGGAACGGCGAGAGTAGACAACCTTGTCTTATTCCGGTCCTTAATTGGAATGCATCTGTCAGCTGTTCTCCATGCACGACTTTGCACTGTAGTCCGTTGTATGAGTTCCGAATAATGTTGACAATCTTCTCAGGAACTCCATAATGTCGGAGAAGTTTCCATAATGTTCTCCTATCCACAGTGTCAAACGCCTTTTCATAATCGATGAAGTTGATGTATAGTGACGAGTTCCACTCAACTGATTGTTCGACGATGATCCGCAGTGTCGCAATTCGGTCTGTGCACGACCGAGCCTAACGGAATCCAGCTTGTTGATCTTGAAGTTGGGGGTCTACTGCGTCTTTCATCCGGTTCAGTAACACTCTGCTAAAAGATTTCCCTGGTACTGACAGTAATGTGATGACTCTGTATTTTTCACATTTGCTCCTCCCAAATCTTTTTAAATAGAAGGTGAAGCATGTTTGTAGTTACTTCGATGTCTTACTTTAGTGCTTCAGCTGGTATATTGTCGGGTCCTGCTAATAATCATATAGTAATACTTAATTTGCAAAATGTCCATCAATTGTCTTAAAATGACTCAGACTTCCTTGTTCTTGCATTTTCATACAAATTGCATTCTGTTTTTATTCTTTACAGATCGATCCTCATGTCTCTCTGCTGCCAGACATTCTGTTCCTGACTGACGTCATATACCACCTATGTCGATATAAGTAGCACACACAACACAATACTACTAATTTCCAGGTCATATTGAAGTTGAAATGCATCCTGTGCTTCATTGGCTGAGTACTTACAATTGGTTGGTCGATAAGCAATTTGAATGAGCCCACTATAATTGGAAGTCATACTACTTCAAAGAACCATGGAATGTGACTGAATTTAGTACTGTTAAACAAGAGTACAAATATGAGTGAGGTTAGATGGTGGTTGGAGGTAGTCAACAGGAAACCCTGGACCCGGGCTTCGTGCTACTTGGCACTCGTCAGCAAGGTGTACCTGTAATCTTGAGGGAACTGATGCTCCCTGGCGGATTCGATCTCGTGTCACTCAGCTTCACAGTCAGAGACGTTACCACTGAGCTATCCGAGCCGTGACTAACCTCCTGTAGGACTGAGATGTAATCACAATTGATTGATCACTGGGTGGTGGTGATCAATGTCATGCTTGTCTAGTCCTTATTAGTGCAGATCGAATGCTATCGATCATGTTGCAATGTGGCCAACAGTCTAGGTGACTCGACACTGCGGGCACTATGTATTGGGAGCATCAGTTCCCTCAAGATTACAGGTACACCTTGCTGACGAGTGCCAAGTAGCACGAAACCCGGGTCCAGGGTTTCCTGTTGACTACCTCCAACCACCATCTAAATCTCAATACATAGTGCCCGCAGTGTCGAGTCACCTAGACTGTTGGCCACATTGCAACATGATCGATAGCATTCGATCTGCACTAATAAGGACTAGACAAGCATGACATTGATCACCACCCAGTGATCAATCAATTGTGATTACATCTCAGTCCTACAGGAGGTTAGTCACGGCTCGGATAGCTCAGTGGTAACGTCTCTGACTGTGAAGCTGGGTGACACGAGATCGAATCCGCCAGGGAGCATCAGTTCCCTCAAGATTACAGGTACACCTTGCTGACGAGTGCCAAGTAGCACGAAGCCCGGGTCCAGGGTTTCCTGTTGACTACCTCCAACCACCATCTAAATCTCAATACACAGTGCCCGCAGTGTCGAGTCACCTAGACTGGTGGCCACATTGCAACATGATCGATAGCATTCGATCTGCACTAATAAGGACTAGACAAGCATGACATTGATCACCACCCAGTGATCAATCAATTGTGATGAGTGAGGATAGTTTATCTGTATTAATCATATTGGCAAAGGAAGCCACTCAAGACACAACCTCTTTTAGTCATCCTAAGAATAATACTAAGACAAATGCTAATGATTGTACATTAGGTGGTGAGTAACACTTGTAAGACCATGCTATTTGTATTGTGCATATGGTCATCAAATGCCCTAGTGAGGCCGAGAGTGTAGAGCGTCAGCTCTCCATCTCGAAATGCTCTCAAGTGGCCACGTGCATACAACTAGCCAGGGAAGTCCTACTCACTGCCTTCCCGTGGTGGGGGTGTTGTTTACCAAATTGAGAGGATGAAAACCGAATGTCCGGCGCTTTACCCGGGTTTGGTGGATAAGGAGGGTCCACTTAGGGTAGTTGGAAAACCCCGATTCCAAACCAATGGTGCACATGAGCTCCAGAATCCTGAGGGAACGAGTGGTATACGAACCAATCATTGGTCACCGGCTACCATGTGACTGCATCTGCTGACGTTACTCCACTGACTTGTGGATTAGACCTTTAGGTCGAAGGCTTCGGGTATGGCCTCCTAAGAAAACCACCTGCTTCTGTTTGGGCAACCGTGCAGTATTCTAGACCTCACACAAATCGAATAATTTATGTGGAGCATATCTATTTGGTGTCTCCTTGTACCAATGTTTATGTGTATAAATTAATTAATTAACTGTGAATATGTGTGAGTCAAAATCTCTGCATGTATACTTTCCAAACAACAGTAAAATTTTGCATTTCTCTGAATATAAAATAAACATACGCAACCGTTCATTTTCTGTGCACAATGTTGAAGTTCTTGGTAGTTTCTACTTGTACAATTATGTTAAATAATTAATTAATTATTTGGCCGTACCAGGGCCGCCCAGAGTCTCCGACTATTGGTTACCTTAGTCGCGCGGACCCCAACCAAGTAGTCTGTATCTACCAACATGGCTCATATCAGAAGTTAGTGACTTCAGGGACTGATGCCACGTTTTAGTCTGGCCACCCCTAACTCTCTTCCAACCATCCCCAACACTTGTCAGCATTGTGCGTCGTGGTAACTGGTGTCCACGCATACGCAACACGTAGCCTACCCATCTCAGTCGATGGAGATTTACAACCCCCTCAACTGATTTACCATTATTCCCTAATACCCTGCGTCTAACCTCACTATTACTTACCTGGTGATCCCAGCAGATGCGAGCAATATTTCTAAGAGATCTGTGGTCAAATATTAGTAACTTACGAGTATCCTCTACTCTTAGTGGCCACATTTCTCAGTCGTAAATTAAACCAGAATGAACTGCTGCGCAGTATACTCGTCCTGTGATTGATGAACGGATATTTCGCCTTCGCCATAAGTCACGTAAGTTGGCAAAAGCCAAACGAGCTTTTTGAATCCGTGCTGAGATTTCGTCAGACACCCACCCATTAATCTGATCAGACTTCCAAGATGAGTGAAGTTATCCATGCGTTCGGCTACCCCTATCCCTATCCGTAGTTCAGGTGTTGACGCAGACCAGTCCTGAGGCAACAACTTGCATTTAGAGGGGGAGAAACGCATCCCAAATATCCTGGCATTGTTGCTGAATGCTACCAAAGGACTATGTATTTTATAAGCGTCTTCATCAAACAGAACTATGTCATCTGCGTATTCTAAGTCAGTAAGTGGGCCTCTTGGTAGGAGATCAATTCCCAAATATTAAGACAACGGGAACGTTATTTCCACCAGTAGGTCTATGATGGATTTGAACACAAATGTAGATAGTGGACAACCTTGACGGACACCACTTGAGGTTGCAAAATCAGATGACAGTTCACCATGAGCTTTGACCCGACCAGTAGTGTTTGAGTAAAGAGCCCTTACAAG